TGACCTGAGCCGAAGGCAGACACTTCACCAACTGTGCACCCAGGCGCCCCTATAAGATAATTTTTTAGACACAACGCAAAATCTACATTATAAAATGTACATTTATTTAGTATGGCCAAACTTATAAATTATATGATTTCTTTTCAAAGAAACTGTAATTAAAGTGAAAAGACAAGTCTTATAGTAGGAGATGTTTTGCAACTCAAATAATCCACAAAGATCACTAGCCAAAATTCATCAGGAATGCCTACACGGCAATAAGAAAAAGAAACATCCTGACAGAAAAATGGGCAGTGAATAGAAGGCAGAAATTCACACACACAAAAATCTAAGTGGCCAACAAACAAGAAAAGATTCTCAGTCTTAATTGTAATTGGCAAAATGCAAAGTAATGTATCCCCCAATGGAATATTACATCACAGTTAAACAAAGGAGAGGTATAAATCTCAAAAACAATGTTGAGAGAAAAAAATTTTGTGAAAGGTTGGCACACTTTATGCCATGTTTGAAATAAGTGAACGCATGTTACATATTTCAAATAAAAGCTTACATATATGGTCATGGAACAAAATCATAGTTGGGAGTGAAACACCAAGTCTTGGATCGCAGTAGTTCCAGTTCTGGGGGTATACTGAACCGGATTATACTGGCTTGCCTGAGCCAATTCTGTGTACCTCTTCCTAATTCCATGTTCAGTGATGTCTTGCTAGTAGCTTGAAATCTGCTGTGATGGAGTGTTTACACCACAGAAACTGGCAAACAATATAAATCCCAGAATCTCCCTCTCATGTCCTAATGCCGGAGAACTGGTTTACCAGCACATTACTGTGTCACTCTCCACAGAGTGAGATGCAACTGGGAGGAATACATAAGGGGCTTCAACAGTATTTGTAATGTCTTTATGCTTTAAAGAATTTCTAAAGTAAATATGACACAAGAAAAGGCTTTGATAGAGTGGGGATAGGGTTCATGGGTATTCATCATGCTACTTTTCTGTACTTTGGAAATACACCCTGAAAACACAATCTAGTCAGCAGAGTTTTTTTAGGCCAGCACAAAACCATTTCTTTTTCCCCTCTTTAATTTTAGAGATTTAAATCTTGCTTAGTTGGTCACAATAATATTATATTATGTTGAAAAACCTGGATCTGAAATAATAATAGAAACTTTAAAATTAGTTCAAGCCCCAACCATAGGTTTGCCAGAGAGTCAGACCTTTGAAATCAACTGATGTAGGGTATATAATAAAAGATTCATAAGAGGCATTAACATAAAAAGTCACATCAATACTTCTTACTTAAGCAGATATAACAGCAAAGACATTTGAACTCTAAATGTAGACTCCAGATCTAAGGGAAAGGAAATAAAAACAAATAGGGACACAATCGTATAGACGACTCAGCTGTAAAAGTTAAACAAGCAGATGCTTTTTTTTTTTATAGAATTATTCTACCTTTTTTAAGATTTTATTTATTTGAGAGAGAGCAAGTGAGAGAGAGCACGAGCTGGGTGAGGGGCAGAGGGAGAGGGAGAAGCAGACTCCCTGGCTGAGCAGGGAAGCCCAAGGTGGCGCCCCCAGCAAGCAGATACTCTTGAAAATAATAATGAGGGGCACCTGGGTGGCTCAGTTGGTTAAGCATCTGCCTTCAGCTCAGGTTGTGATCCCAGGGTCCTGGGATCGAACCCCACCTTGAGCTTCCCTGCTCAGCCGGGGAGTCTGCTTCTCCCTCTGCCTCTGCCCCTCACCCGGCTCGTGCTCTCTCTCCCTCTGTCTCTCTGTCTTACTCTCTCAAATAAGTAAAATTAAAAAAAAAGAAAATAATAAAATAAAATAATAGGAATACCAATAGAAACGTGACAAAACCAGGTATTCGAAACAGGCTAGATTGGATGCCTAGTTCTATGTCCTTGAGCAAAGGACTTTCCATACCGCACTCCTGATTCATCAATAAGATGTGCATATAATATGCATTCTATCTGCCTCCCAGAGCTGTTAAGAGGATTACAGGAGATCATGCATGTGCCAGGGATAGATAACTGGGCCCTACAAAAGGGACAGGCATAAATACGTGATGTTCATTGCGTGCACATTGTGTCACCACATGGATCCCTAACACATCATCATCCGGGTACTCATTCACTCTGACTCAGGCTGACAGGTCTGACTTCCTTGTTCAGAGAACACCAAAGAGAAAAGAACTGAGAACCAATTCAGGAATACAAAGGTCTTCTCAGTCTTCCAACTTTTGTAGAATGGGCTCCACCACCAAGGTCCCTTCTTGTTGACCTAGGGGGCTACATCATTCTTATCTTTCTTTAAATTAGGAGACACAGGAAGATTTAAACTCCAGGGAGTAAAAAAAAAAAGCCCTTCTGGACTATGCTACCATGTCCCAAACCATGGCCTGAAAAGCAGGGTTCCACTCTGGCAAGAGGGAGTGTGGTTAAATGCCTGGGGCTTGGGGTCAGAGAAGCCCAGATGAGGCATATAACGTGATAATGCACATAAAGCTCTATGGCCTCTGGCATGAACTAAGCAGAAGACAAATAGTCATTACCATCAACATACAGCCAAACCACCAGAGGCTTAGGCCAGGGGCCCCCCCACATATATGCCTCAACCCTCTCCCTGAGTTACAGGGCCACTGGTAGCCTCTGGAAGGAGAAGCCACTCGGGGGTTCATGGGATTTTACCATCAGCAACTGCTAAATGGGAGCCTGTTTTAATACCAATGAACATGTAGACTCTAAATTCCCTAATTTTTTTTTTTTTTGAGAGCGTGAGCATGCCTGATCGATGGGGAGGGGGAGGGGGTGAGGGAAGGAAGGAATCTTAAGCAGACTCTATGCCATCAAGGAGCCAGAGGCAAAGGGGCCCCTGGGTGGCTCAGTCAGTTAGGCGGCTGCCTTCAGCTCAGGTCATGATCCCAGGGTCCTGCGATCGAGCCCTGCATTGGGCTCCCTGCTCAGCAGAGAGCCTGCTTCTCCCTCTCCCTCTGCCTGCCACTCTGCCTACTTGTGCTCTCTATCTCTCTGTCAAATAAATAAATGAAAAATATCTTAAAAAAAAAAAAAAAAAAGGAGCCAGAGGCAGGGCTCGATCTCATGACCCTGTGATCATGACCTGAGCTGAAATCAAGAGTTGGATGCCTAACCGACTGAGCCACCGAGGCGCCCCAGCCTAATTCAATTTCTTTATGACCTTTCTCTATTTTCTTATTATTGTGTCTATTTTATGTAGACAGTGTTTCCCAGCCACAGCTATACATTACAAACATCTGAGGACCTTTTAAAAACTTCTGATGCCCTGGCCCAACCCCAAACCAATTCATTACATTTTCTGGGGGTGGGATCCATCATATTATATAAAAAAAATCTTCCGAGGTGATTCTAGTAGTGTAGTTCAGGTCGAGAATTACAGTCTTGGAACATGCTGATCAGTTTCCAAAGTCTCCTGAGTCAAATCCGGGAGATGTTACAACACGGGCAGTTTTTACATCCTAGGCTTTCAATATGAAAGGAGGCGTTGATGCAAGTCTATACACAGATGTCCCAGAGGCCAGGCTTGTGCTAGGTGTTAGGGATTCAAAGGTAGCAAAGGAGATGTGGATCCTTCCCCCAAGGTGTCACTTATACCAATTTCACTAAGCAAAGAGGGATAAGATTTATAAATTGCACTATGGTTGAGTCACACAATGACAAGGCACTGTAGAATTTTATAATGGGATTTTACTCTAACAAAATCAACATCATCACTGGTTGATATTTTGATGCTTTCTCTGGGCTGGTATTGAGCAAGGTAGGCACTTTTGGTGTTTGAGCGCACTGAAGCTTCACAATAACCATGGAGATAGATATTCTTATTATTTCCACTCATTCATTCCACAAAAGCTTGCACGCCTCTGATGGGCCAGGCACTGGGTTTTGTTTGTTTGTTTGTTTTAAAGATTTTTATTTATCTGACAGAGAGAGCACAAGCAGAGGGAGAGAGAGGGAGAAGCAGGCTCCCTGCTGAGCAAGGAGCCCGATGTGGGACTCAATCCCAGGACCCTGGGATCATGACCCGGGCCGAAGGCAGCTGCTTAACCGACTGAGCCACCCAGGGGTCCTGGGCCAGGCACTGTTTAGGCACCTGGACGGTAACAAAACAGGCCCCAGGCCTCGGGGAGTGTCCATGAGTGGGGGTGGTGAGGAAAGAAAGAACCGATGTAAACCAGAGGTCGGTCATAGGGTGCATGACAGAATTTGATAAATGCCAGAAAGAAAAGGCAGAGCAGGTGAGGTGTTCTGTGGGTGTTCGGCAAGCTTCATTGAGAAAGGGAGACATGAGCACAGACTTGTAGGGAAGGAGTTAGTTCTTCCACTCCATTTCAAGACTCACCCAAGGATCTCTACACGGCTCAGCTGGGATGCAAACCCAGGCATGTTGGAAATGAGAGTCTGCTCCTAACTTGCCTACTGCCTGGCAGAAGTTTCACAACCAATTTGCTTGTCCCAGCCCCTTCAGCAAATTTCCTAAGCCCAGTGTCTTTTACATAGTAGGTACTTAACGTATGTTTGAGTTAATCATTTAAATTATTAATTAATTTGGATCAGTACACTATGACTCAAAGTATTTGTGTGTTTACTGTGTCCTGCCCACTCCCTAGGCAGAAGAAAGTTTCTAGAAAATTCAGTGTAGGTGGGGGTGCCACAGACGAAGCATGCATGCATTTTTGGATGCCCTGTTCATGTTGTGTTGTAGAAGAATGATGTCACTGCTCTGTCAGGGAAGACAGGTCTCTTCTCTGAGCCAGGAAGATGGATTTGGATGGAATATAAAATAAATGTGAGACTCTTCTAGGACAAGGATGCTTCTGGGTAGAAGACTTCATGGCATGATAGCACACAGAAATGTATGAAGTTGAATCAAGGATTGCAGGTAAAGTTCTCTTCGGTGGCATTCATCTGAGAGAAAGTCATATTCCTAGGTGAGAATGATCTTTTGCGTATGAACTTACCTATTGAAGTGGTAGATATCCTGTATGTTTCCAAAGAGGGCTGATCTTTCTTCTGTCCCCAGAGGAAGTTTTGTTTGGTCCCTGATGCAGTCAAGGTAATCCTGGGAAATCAATGAGAAGGATGTGTTAAACACTCCTGTCCTTCTCCAAGTCATCTTTAGTTATGCAAGATGAATCTCTCATATCAATTTCAAGCAATTATTATACTAATGTGCTCATTAACTGTACTATGGAATACAGAGTGTCACTTTTATTAATGTTGACAATACTCACCAATTTATAGAATGGGGAGTTGGAGCAAGGAGGAGGAGTATGGTATACATTAGGCTATATAACCCCCAAATGTATTAGAGCTTCCCTAGATGGATAATATAATGACCATAGTTTCTCATAATGTCAGATTTTTGGCATAACAACATCATCCTCTGTTTCCTTGACTGATTTATGTGATAAAAAGATACTCAAATTCATTTAGCGGAAAGCCAGAAATACAGACCTTAAAATTTCTCATCACAAGAAAAAGAATTTGTAACTGTGTGTGGTAATGGCTGTTAATTACACTCATTGTGGTGATCATTTCACAATATACACATGCATCAAGTCATTATGTTGTACACCTTAAACTAATACAATGTTCTATGTGAATTATATCTCAATAAACTGGGGAAAGAGAGTGTTGTTTAAACATAACCTTGAAATCAGGAAGCTATCAGTTGTTAAAATGCAGAACCAAATTCTTCCTCAAACACCATTTTATAGAAAAAAAACCTCTCTTTATTTTAATAAGCACATAACTCACTTATGCTATCTAGTAGGCTATGTTAATGAGCCATGGAAAATTTTGAAATGATTTTATATCTTTTAACACAGCAACAGCTCCCAAGCCGAGCTAATGTGGGCTCAGATCCACAGTGGGTTAAATGTCCGTGGCTTGGAAGCTTCGAGCTGCTGAGAGAAAGCTGTTTTCCACCCTGGGTGTGAGAGTTCATAACGGAGTGTTCCCCCTTCCCCAGCAATGCTTGAAAAAAGGACTCAGTAGGAGGCTAGAAAACAATAAAGAAAAAAGTGAAAACAGCTGAAATAACGTAAAATAAAAAATAAATACAATCCCCTGCTCCGGACTGCACAATGTACTATGGCCCTCGACCAAATGTCACATGGCGTCGTGCAGCCCGGGGGAGGAACAGACCCTGTGAAAATCCCAGGCTACAGCCACATTCCAGTCTTCCATCGCAAACACAAGAGCACTTAGGTGCAACCAGCCAAAGGAGAGATGAAATGTAAAAACCATCAGATAATTCTTCCTTCTCCATTTTAATAAGCCACCTTCATTCTCTCATGCTCTTTATGCCCCTCAAAGGAAAAACAGGCAGGGCTTCACCATTACCGTTCTCGGGAGCATGTTTCACAGACTGCATCCCATAACTCACCATCCTAGTTCTTTAACGCTAAAATCACTGGCATGCACGAAATAACGTTTATAAACCCTTTTTCTTTTATTTTTTTAAATGATTTTATGTATTTGTCAGAGAGAGAGCGAGCAAGCGAGAGAGAGATCACAAGCAGGGGGAGCGGCAGAGGGAGAGGGAGAAGCAGGCTGCGCACCGAGCAGGGAGCCCGATGTAGGACTCGATCCCAGGACCCTGGGATCATGACCTGAGCTGAAGGCAGATGCTTAACCGACTGAGTCACCCAGGAGTACCCCCTTTTTTCTCTTTTAACAAGCTTTGTGGGAACATCTTTTCTTAAGACAGTGGTCATCTCAGTAAGAAGTTAAATTCATAAGGTGTAAGTGTAACCAGCACCCCAAACCCACAATAGCAAGACATAACCTTGTGTCCTTACTATAGCAAGACATAGCCTACAGTCCTTACTATAAAAGTAAGGACTTTTATAAATGGAACAATTAGAAGGAGCTTGAGTATCTGCATAGGATATAGAGTTACTGCCTAAATAAAAAATGCTCAAGAAAACCAGAAGTGAAATGAATGCCTTTTGAACATGTAAACCTAACCTATACTTCCTCAAAAACATAAATGTAGTATTGATATTTACATAAAATTACACATGGTACAAAAAGATGGGCTAATATTTAACTTGCCTTGAACACTTATATTTGATAGCTGTTTATACTTTGATCAAGATTTTAAAAGGACACATCATATGCAAAATTAAGGCAGTGAAAGGTTCCAGATGGGCGTGAACTTAACCAGAAGGATATGGATAGGCATGAGCCACACCAAATAGCAGGATAAAGGGCAGGACAGAGATGATGTACGCATGCCAAATTCACCTTGCTGGCTGCCATGGGGTTTAAATGAGAAACCGAACAACCCTTTTTCTCACTTCAAGTGAAGAGCTTGCTCATTTGCAGAAACCTGATACTAAATTCTTCATGTGAGGGAAAGACTGAGTTAAGGGGCTTGAAGAATTTCAGCTGGGGTTAGAGACAAAGAACCGTGGCCCACTTCCAACAAATAATGGCCCCTCTCCAAATGAAAGAGTTTCAAAACCCCCTAGTCCGTGGTAGGGAAACTAGGTTTTAAAAGCCGCTCGTTTTCCGAAATTGTTGAGAAAACGGATCGTTAGGAGTCCAAATTTTTGTAGGCCACTCTAGAAAACAGATCAAAGTCCTATGGCCACAACTGTTCCCCCCACTGATCATAATTAAGTCTTTTAAATATGATACTTTAACCCTAAACTAGTTACGGAGAACTACTGTAGCATGCCCGGCATTAGCAGCTATAATCATCTCCAGCCAAAATGAGAGGTTCGAAGCTCAGCGATAATAACAGTTGGGTCTGTGTTCAAATGACAGAGTAAAGACACCCATGAAATTTATTAGAGCCTGTCACACTGCTTATTAATTTTATTGGCTTGATGTCAGCATCTATGGCTACCCTACAGTTAACAATGAAGGATCAATTTTAAACATTTGCATTGAAAACAATTATTCGCCAAGAAGATCAAAGAGTTCACTCAACTGGGAGAGGGATGAGGCGGGGAGATACGCACAAGAAAGAGCTTTCCACTGGTGGAAAAAAATGCCTATTATGCCATTTTAAATTCTGTCTATTTTCTAATCAATTCATGTCCTTAGGATCTCCTTAAGATTGCAAGATTTGTGCGTGGGTGTCCTCCTCACATTAACTTTGTCATTGCCTGTAATGTCTTATTGAAAACATCCAACTGAAGACTGACTTGGTGCCATTTAAAGTGTGGCAAATGGAAAAGGAGCCAGTTTGCAAAGTGTTACCGAACTACAATGAATTCAGTGCAGAAACTGAGAGTAAGTGCATGGAAACTTACAGCCTTTTGACAGAATGAGATCTGTTGACTCTAATGATCAATTTGGGCTTGTACCTTGCCTGTCCGATTTCTTCTATTTTCTTTTTCTAGCAATTCACTTTTTATTGTGTTTTCCAAAAGTGTCGGCATGTGACTGACAGAAAATGCACGCACACACACATGCACACACATCCCTGTCCCTCACCACAGATAGAGAAGCGCTGGTCTAGGCAGCCCTCCCGCAGAGATGATGGAGAATGGACAGAATTCAAATTCAGATTTAAACTCAAATTCAATGTTCTTGGTAGTTCGCCTTATTTCTCTAAGATGCCTATAGAATTAATGTCCCTGCCCCCGTTTCCCTTCTTCCTCTAAAATAACATTTAAAACGTTTTAAAATTATAACCTGTTTGACATAATGAAGATAAACCACAAGAGGGAAAGAAATACTACTTTACGTCCCTTCAACTCTTTCCCGCACCCCCCCACCCTTGTGTAGAGTCCCTTGTAGAGACAAAAAGATTCCATTCCTAAATCCTCTTGCTCACATTTCAAAGTTCGACCTGGTGGTTTTATAGTTTACTCTTTCTGGCTGGTTTTTCTCTTTTTAGCGCTTCCAGATTCCAAGCTCTTTGATATAACTCCTATGTAAGACTTTTTTCTTTGGTCTTTATTTTGAAGGAAGCATTTTTTCTTGTTTCTCCAACCCCTCCACCTCTTCTAGAACATAGTCATCGGTTTATCCCCAAACCTGCTCTCCAAATGCCATGTGTTACAGTGGGACGCCACTGATACCACAATAACGTACACTTGTATATCAATTTACAGTTTAAAAGCATTCACATTCATTCATACAAACCATCCTCCCCTTTCTCCCCACCTTTTTTGAGGACATAAGAATGCGTGCCAAGCTCTGTTTTACAAGCTAGGAATTAAAAAAATGAATAAAACATGACTCCTCCCCCCAAGGAGCTCTCTGTGTAGTTGAAAGACAAGTGTAAACAAGTAAGTACAATACAGTGTTTAGGGCGCATGGCTGATAAATATTCAGTATTGGCAGAGAGGGGAGGCAGAAAAAGAAGTGGTTGATTCCTGGGCTGGCAGAGGCTCTCTAGAGGAGGTGCGCGTGGATCTGAGCCTTAAGCAGCAGCAGTCTGGGTGGAGGGAAAGGGAGGAGACAACATCCAAGAAATAGAAAAGTGCAAACAGAGGCACAGGGCAAGGTATGCCGCCCGCAGTCAGGACCCTTAAAGGTGCTGAGCCGGGCGGGGAAAGCCAGGAACCCCGGCGCATGCGCACACAGGCCCTGGAGTTAGAGCTGATCATAGAGAATCGTCGTGCTCCGTAGGTGGTGGCAACCCCTGAACGATGGTGGGAGACCACAGACCATCCCAGCATCAGTGAAACAGAACAGAAGCTGTAAAACTGGGGTGGGGAGACCAGTTAGGCCAGCAGAGCAGCGCAGATAAACCCGGACCAAGCCCTCCACAGGTTCTACAGAGAGGCATGAAGGAGAGAAAGGAGCCAGTCAGGGGTGACAGTCACGGGGTGAGGGACGTTGTTGGCTTTCAGGATGTAGAGGCCAATGGCAGGCTGCCCCCAGATGGGCCACTTTGGCATGAAGACTATTTTGAGTTAAAAAGCAATCAAAACCTGGGGCGCCTGGGTGGCTCAGCAGGTTAAGCATCTGCCTTTGGCTCAGGTCCTGATCTCAGGGTCCTGGAATCGAGCCCTGCATCCGTCCAGGCTCCCTGCTCGGAGGAGTGTCTGCTTCTGGCCCCCCACCCCAACCCAGCTCCTGTGCTCTCTCTCT